AAATTAAACAATTAATCTAAATTATGAGTAATTAAGTTTAATATAAAATTTTGTTTTTATCCTACATTTATTTATAGTCTATTTTCTTTTCCTAAATATAGCTCTCCCTATTAAAACTTGAATCTCAGCACTAGAATATCTAATATATGTTAAAAAAATTTTAGAATTTTTGAAAAAATATGTATTTTTGATATATTTGAAAATAATTTTAAAAGGGATGAAACAAACTAAAAATAAGAAATGACCAATTTAAAATAAAAATTTAAAAACTGGGGCCAAATTACAAAAATAAAAAAAAGTGACCACGCAGGACGGCCACGTCAACAGCACAGCCAGTCGTCGTGCACTGCGTGGAAGACACGCCAGTATACATTCCACGCGGGAGGTCACGTAGGCAATCCGTGTGCCAACCAATCCAATGGCCCGAATTCACTCCCGCGCACATGAACGATCCAAATCTGTTTCCTCATCAAGTGCAATCGAAGGTCCATGTGCCTTTAATCGAACGACCTTGATTTGCTTCCCAAATAAGTGAGATCCGACGGTAGAGATCAGCACATGCAGACCCAAACGGATGGCCCGAATTGAGAGAAGATGAGTATTTAAACTCCCATTCCACCAAAACCCTAACCTTAACCGCAACCAATTCGTTAGAGAAAAAGAATAAGGGCGGCCGAAAGAGAAGTCCACCACCATCGCTGCCGCATCGAAGACCAAAACCGCGTCGATGAGGGTTTTAGGTAGTTTAGAATGGAAAAACAGAACGAACAAAGTCAAAAAACCCTCTGGTGAGCTCGAATTCTTTTTTCGTTTTCTTCTGTTTCTCGACTATAGGTTATCTAACATATTTTCGGTGTAGGGCAACCAAAGGACCGTGACTGTGAGGACGAAGTGACGGAGCCGCCGCACCAAAAAACTCGAACCACCGGTAAGTTTTGGTTTTCCTCCTTTTTCCACCAACAAAAGTTACCTAACCCCAAATGGCGTAGGTTTTTACCTAAAACTGACCGAAACTGGTCTAACCGAGAGGAGGAGCCGCCGCAAAAGGCAGAATTGGTGACGAAGCATGGTGGTGCCGTTATAGAAGGCGTAATCGACAGCGAAGCACAGTGACGCTGTCGTGTCGAAATCTTAAACTAGCCCTCATTGAGATTTTTGGGTTGTTTTTTTGTGTATTTCCATGATATTTAACGTATGATTTGGCTTTAGCTGAAAAATCTAAGAAATTCAAGAACCGGGAACCATCGGAAAGCATTGTAATAAAGGCGATGTTCCAAACACCAAATTGAGTAAGAATCCCTTACCTTTTCTCCCATTATGGTTAAATTAAAGTTAAATTAATAATAAATAGAAAATTATAAATGTTGGCGACCCCTTGATTAGTTAAATACTGGTTACCGATGGAGCCAATAACCGGTTAGTGTATATTGTCCCTATCTTATCCATGTTACCTATTTGTTGTTATATTACCTTAATTGCCTACTATTACTTCGTGTACTTTAATATATTAATTTTAATTACTTTTCTTATCCATTTAGTCTACTCAAACCATTTTCATCTTTATTTCATTTTATAAGTTTGTAATGAATGTCTTAATTACGTTTTATTAAATCATTGAGTCTTAATTTATATCGACTATTAAATGATCATTCCATTTTCTTGTAATTGCGAAATGTGAGTTTTGCATGTTTTTAGTGGCTAGATAGTAATGGAAACTTATATATTTAAGTAACATTGTTAAATTTAAGGGCTCACAGGGTATCATGGAAAAGGGTTTACGGACCTAGTACATAAGGTAAACCCTACCGTTGACGTTACCCTCAATCGAATGAGGCTGAGAAATCCTATATCAGTAGGGGTTGGGAATTGCTTTGATCACCTTCATTATCAGACGGGGTATTGAGGCAATGGTGTTTTTGGCGTTCATTACCGAACGAGGTATGGGATGATCAGTTGATTCATTGAATAGATATTTGACCCACGTGTGGTGGAAACTCCTATGGACCCCCAGCGGCATCGATAAGTAAATAAAAATAGTAAAAGTTAATTATTCTTGGTCTTTTAAAATATATAAGATGAATTACTATTCTAGTTATTTCTTCATAAATAGCATCTAAGAACTTACAAGTGAGCAAGAAATTAATATTTTCAGTTAAATGATTTTATTTAAGAAAGAAAAATGAGCTCCATTGGTTGTTTTATGATTTTTTTTATTGGTAGTAAGTATTGATATTCTTACTGAGTTAGTGTCGCTCACCCCTTTATTATTAACTATTTCATATT